ACAATAATAGAATAAACCGAATATGTTTGGCTCAAAGAATTTTGGCCATTCCACCAGTTCACTCACTTCACTTCCACTGTATCCACTGTTTGTGGTTCCTGTGTATGTAGAGTATCCTTTGTGCTAGTCACACATACGTGGAAATGACATGTATATGAAACAACATATGTACAAACCAAATCATTTATACAGACTTCCGCTTGCTATAAGTTGTTAAACTCTTAAAAAATACACTTTGAAAATCCTATTTTATGCGGCATTGTAGAATTAGATATATAATTTTCTTCAAATCAGAGATGTCGAGCTCACCAAAACATTCTGCATATTTTGTATGTGTCTAAAGTTAAGAACAAGAGGTCTGTTTTTTGGTACTGCAAAATGTAATTAACAGGAAAATCTATAATAATATATAGCGCATTTTGTGCACTGAACATTCATTATTGTTTATTGATCCTTTGCTGCCATCTACTGACAATGAAGATTTACTGCTGTCCTTGAATATGAGCAAATTGCTAACCATGCTTTGTAATACTACAAGGAGTACATACTCAGCAGGGATAAAGCCAGATGCTGGTAAATTAAAACTTGAACATTAGATGGGTTTTGCCTTTAACTGAAAAAGATTCCTGAATGGCAGTATAAAATTTCAGAAGTTCAAATCTTAAGAAATTACTTTTAAAAGCATTATAGTTGGGAGACAATGCAAAAGCAACAGCACAAGCTATGCTGGCTGGCTGCAATATTTATTCAAGCAGCATTTACATCTGGCAAATCTGACTAATATTACCGTGTTCATATTGTATGAACCTTTATCAGATTATTATAAAAACAATTACTATGATGTAATCACTTGAAGACCGAGGTGTTAAACCCCCTTCCTGGCCAGGCCATTTTTCAGTATGCAGCGCTGCAGTGAAATTGATGTTATACCATTTTTGGGGACAGATAGAGATTTCTTTTGGTGGTATTTAATCACCACTGGGGTTTTTATTTTTTACTATATAACAAAAAAGGTACAGATAATTTTGAAAAAAAAAAAACTGTTTCCCTATGAAATGTTATGAAACGGCTATTATCACTCCAATTGTTTTGTAAAATATTAAAGATGGGGTCACGTCAAATAAATAGACATCAAACATGTCAAGCCTTAAAAGTGTGTGCGACCGCAAAATCGCAAACTACCACACCTAAAATTGGCCATAGGAGATGCTTTAAAAGCTTTTACCGCTCATCAGTATGGTGTTATAAGTGATTACTGGCTATAAAATTATTGTTCTCATTCCGACATTTGCGGTGATATGTAACATGTGAGGCACAATGTGCACAATCGTCATTTTCTCACGTAGGCGCACGCAACGTGTATGTGGGAGCAGGGGACTTTCCCATTTTTGTGTTTAGGAAGCCTCCTATGTGATAGCCACTTTACATTGCAGGGCCTCCTTATGGAAACATCAGGGGTATCCAAGACCCCTAATGTCACCAAGAGACCCGTAGTGAAGCTGATGAAGCAGAGATCTGCTTAATTATTATTATTATTATTATTACATAGTATTTATATAGCGCCAACAGTTTGCGCAGCGCTTTACAATGTAGGGAAGACATTATAATTGCAATACAATTCAAGACAAGATGGTAACGAGGGCCCTGCCCCTGAGGGCTTACAATCTGAAAGAGGAGGGGGAAATGATACATGAGGAGGTAGCTGTGTGGGGATGAATTGTTTGAGAACGTGATGGTTCAGTGGTTAGGTTGAGGTGGGATAGGCTTCCCTGAAGAGATGAGTCTTTAGGGAACGCCTAAAGACAGTCAAGGTGGGAGATAGACGGACAGGCTGGGGGTAAAGAGTTCCAGAGGATGGGAGAGACTCTAGAGAAGTCCTGGAGGTGAGTATGGGAGGAGTGGACTAGGGAGCTGGAAAGCAGGAGGTCTTGGGAAGAGCGGAGTGGACGGTTAGGGTGATATTTTGAGAAAAGGTCTGAGATATATCCGGGGGCAGAGTTGTGGATGGCTTTATAAGTTACTGTTAACAGTTAAAGACTGTTAATATTTTGAATTTTATCCTCTGGGCGAGTGGAAGCCAGTGTAGTGATTGACAGAGGGGGGTTGCAGACACTGAGCGGTTGGTCAAGTGGATGAGTCTGGCAGCTGCATTCATGATAGACTGAAGGGGGGATATCCTGTGTAGTGGAAGGCCAATGAGAAGGGAGTTACAATAGTCAAGACGAGAGATAACAAGGGAGTGTATGAGTAGTTTTGCGGTTTCATTGGTGAGGAAGGGGTGTATTTTGGAGATGTTACAAAGGTGAAGGTGGCAGGATTTGGATAGTGCTTAACCAGCTTCTCCCTGGCTTCTGTAGCCTGGAATGACAGCTGAATACGGAAGTGATGTAATACACATCACTTCCTGCATTCTGACACTAGAGAGGAGGCTCTGCTTGCCCTCCTTGCTTATCCCACATGCTATTCTGAGTTCACCTACTGGTCTAAGGCCAGTGATGTAAGCACTGCTGGTAAGAACTGCAGTGAGAGTAGACGTTGGGAAATTCAGAGAAATTGCCATTCTGGGCTGCGGATCCAATGAGTGAGAACTGCAGGGAAAAATTACCTGGTGAAGAAGACCCATCTTATGCAGCTCTGATCTGGCTGTTTATATGCAGGTCAATATATGCTTAGGTTTTTAATCATATGAGGTCAGCATTATCCAGTAAGTATATTATTGGATGATTTGCTGCAGAACTTTACAATTTCTACGAAGTAGCTGGAAACATTTTCTGGAAAAAGCTAATGGAACTAAGAAGTTTAACAAAATATTCAATTCAGTTACCCAATCATGTGCAGATGAAATAGGTAAACATGAATTTATTTTTCACATGATTGGATAATTAAAGTGAATCTTAACTATTTTAGTTAATCAAACTCATGGAGGTTGATTTGCTAAAGTAAAAGATAACTCTTCACATCATAAACTCCAGGAAAATCAAAAATTTAGTGACACTAAACTCAGGAGTTAAAAGAGAACGCTGCCTATCGCTGTGCCCACCCCCTCCCCCATCTGTTCCTCCAGTCAGCACTGGAGGATCTGGGAGGGGGGAATCCCTGTGGGGAACGGTGACTGTCAGTCACCTCTCTCTGCATGGAGATGATCGGGAAGTGAGCAAGCAACGGTATGTGCTCGATCACTTCCTGATCAATAGAGCCAACGTGTGACAGTTTCAATGTCACACGTCAGCTCTAACTATGAGGATGGGTAGAAATCACTCACCTCATAGTTCTCTGTCATGAAGCAAGACCCAGCCTGTGTGGCCGGAGTTCTGGACAGGCACCTGCATGTGCATCATCCTGCACAGGGGATTGTGCGCGACCACATGCCTCTGAATGGGCAAGCACACGCCCGTGTGCGTGCTCCACGGCATGCACGTGGACATGCTCTTTCCTAATGATGCCGCGAATCGGGCTATTTAAGGCTGATACACCTTGACCTCCCTGCTGACTGATCTTCATCTGTACCCTGTCCCTTGTTCCTGAAACCTGCGTACTTGATCTGATCATCCGTTACCGACCCGGCTTCTTTGACCTCTGCTCCTGTTCCATACTCCTTGACCTCGGCTTGTTTTTGACCTCTCTCTTGCCTACTCCCTGGTACTTTGCTGCCCGCAAGTTACTGACCCGGCCTGCCTCTGAAACAATCCACTGCACTCACCAGACACATATGACCAGTATGTTACATGGTCAGTGATCACTCTTTTTGGTTGAAACCAGCAGTAACTCTTCCAGGTTTGGGCCTTCTTTCACAGCAGGGATCTGCTGTCTGTTAACCAATATCACCGCCCTCTTAATTTCCTACCAGAGCTCAAATACACAAACAGACACTTCTCATAGTGTAGCCTTCGCATAAGGTAACTTTAATAAAAGAATATATTGCACTTACATTAAAATTTAAAGACGATTGTTCTTAGAAAACCATTCACAAAAATATTGTTAAAAAAATAATTCCAGCCGGTACACACCAAACACTGTATCTCTTCCTTCCTCTAGAGTGACTTCATCAAGCGACGCCCAGACGCGTTTCATCTTGTGACTTTCTCTGTGTACAGCGCACTTGCTGATATCTCTCCCTAAACTCCTTATATCCTAATTGTAGTTAACGTCATTTAGCTATTTGGCCACTAGGAGAACGCTTATGACTTTGGGTCAAAGTGTCTTTATAGCTGTCTAGATTCTCAATTACAGAGAAGTAGCAGAATGGCACATCTAGCCCCACCCAGCTTTATGAGGAGCATTATCCCTGCCCCCATTGTAGTTTTACCATATTTCCCCAGCTTTCTAAATACAGTAGCAGTGTTTTCTGTGTTTCTTGGGTTGAAGCAAAACACATTTCTGTGCATTAAAAAATATAAGCATTTGTGTACAGAATATTGTGCATTAATATGTAGGCATGTATAAATTAAAGTAGAAGGCAAGGCGCCTCGCAGTCTGTTAAACAAATATAGCACTAAGCTCTTCATTGCTACTGCTATAAAGTGGCCCATCATTTATTTATTTTTAAATGCTTCCTAATGCCTTTATTTTATTTTAGTAGTCCAGATTGCATGACTGCAGATCCCTTTCTATTCTTCCTGTCGGGGCAGTGGATAGGATTTTATGATGCTAAGGCTGGGGAGAACAGTGCAATTAGTAAATGTCTGCTGGCCTATTTACAATGGATGTGGTGATGTGATCATATCACTGCACATCTGAATGAGAGGGTGAGGGTTTTGCTGTGATTAAAATATACAACAATTTATTTCCCTTATCTTGAAATCTCTATTTTGTTTTTGTTATTTTCACTCCGCTTTGTGTATGTACAACTGTTACAACAAAAGCAATTAAAAAAAAACATTTATTACAAAATGTATGTACACTGTTGCTTGTACAATTCATTACATAATGAACCACATGAAAATACAGAGATTCATTTATACAAATCTCTGAAGGGAAATATTGACTGAACCACTTTTCTAGCATAGGTGATTTCAATGAACGGAGGAAGAAAACACAAATCAATAGAGAGATGCAATTCAAACGTTTCCAGAGTCTGCCATTAATGTTGTCTAGAAATTTTCAAAATGGTGAGTGAATTTGGTCTGGTCCCTTCTGTTTAGGATTTGGCAAGCCTTTTCCACATTTTTGGTCATCCCTGGAGGCCCACAACTGAATACCCCAACTTTTTTAACCTAAAAAAAGAAAATTATTAGCACTGATAAGCACGCTATCTTGAAAGAAAGATCTTTAATTATTTGTCTTGTTCAGCACATCTGAGGCATCATAGTAGAAGTACATAATGGCTAGGGATAACAAGGTGAATTAGCTGAACTTTATTTCACCCTGCAAATACCAATTTGCTAAAATTATGTCTAAATTGGCCTCAAATAATCTCACCTAGCCTACTGATGTAATTAGCTTGAAAATTATTTGGCTTTGCTTTCGGACAAAGCCATATGACCAACATCTAAGTGTGTGGTTAGGAGCACCTAGTATAAACTTCTGACTCACTTGCAAGCCATTTAAAATCTTTATTTGCTAGAAACAACAGATGCAGCCAACAAGTTTCAGGGTCCTAATCTCTACTATCAATTAAACTCTTGTGAAGAATAAACATTCTATCTTTGATGCACTTGAATTCACCTATCAGAACATATGAACAGCATGGTAATCAATGGCTTTGGTGATCAAACCTAGCACTAAGCCTAGCACTAATCCTAACACTAACACTAACACTAATGTGACATGGTCAGTGACAGCTGCCAGTATAACTCTTTCTACTGTAGGTGCACTCCAAAAAACTTTTAAAAGATGTTGTATAAATAACAACTTATTTATTAATTAAAAAACTTTTACAAATTAAACAAAGTTTCTAGAGAGCAAAACAAAATGAAACCTTATAACCCTAGTTTTGTATTCTCCATTGACTCTGACGTATTTCCCTGAAACGTCTTGACATTAGCCAACAAAGTGAAAACTCATGCCTAATGTTGGCCCTACTAGCCTAACGGTGCAATGAGGAAAATACTACAGTAATCTGTCAAAAACAATCTAAACTCACTTTATTGAAGTTAGATAAGTGCAATATGGATTCTCATTGGTTACTGTACATCTTTGTTGTTAGCACCTTGGACATTTTTGATTAAATGAGAAAGTATAACTGTTGACTGTAACTAAATCACTGTTAATCACTTCCCTCCCGAAAATATCAGTTGTAGATCGATGGCAATGGATTGAATCATCTACTCTCTAATCTATTGGGGTCTCTGGTATCAAGAACTCTTCAGCATACTTTCAAAAGGAACTATTGTTTGTCGCCCCCAAGAAACTTAAGCAATTACATAGTTATTGCCAAGTAAAGGCTTATTGCAGAAATGTAAACATTGATTTAATCTAGGGGCTGGTTCACACCACAAACAGTGCATTCCAGAGTGGTCTGCCTCTGA